TACTAAAATTCGTGAGAACTTGAAAGGACAAAAGATTAACAGAGGAAATGGATTACTCATTTAATTCGTATAGGACAACAGTCTAGCTATATGGCAGAATTTTGGGGATGTAGGGAAGGCCTGCGTCTAGCATCTCGCCTTGGCATTACTCATTTTATTCTGGAAACGGATTCCCTTATGGCAGTTCAGATGATTAATGAAAGGAAAGCAGTTTGAGGGACTTGCTTCTGCTTTTGTTCTTGGATATTTTTCCATCTCTTAAACACATTTACTGAGTGTAGGGTGCAACATACTCTTAGGAAGGACAATTCAGCAGCGGATCATATGACATCTATTGCCCAAAATCTTCCTCAAGGAGTCACCTTCTTTGATTCCCCACCGGCAGATATCCATGGCATTCTTTCTAGTGATGATGTAGGGACTTTGTTCCCCTTAGAGTTTGAGCTTTGTTATTTTAGCTTCTTATGTACGAAAAAAAAAAAGGGGATTAAGAGAGGAAATTGACATGCATTTCAACGGTGATAAGGATAAATGACTTTTCTATTTCATTGTTATAAAACTTTAATTCATCGACTAATAAATACTTCTTAAATAAAATGCAACAAACGACGACGTATTAATTAATGAGTCTAAAAAAATAATTAAAGAAATAATGGTTGGCTTAAAAAATGCAAGGTTTAGTGTCAAAATTGGTCTTTAAACTTTTAATTTTGAACAAATTTTATTCTTCAATTTTTTTTCCACTTTTTTATCTCTCAACTACTAAAAATATGCATTTTTATCTTTCCTTTAATTAGTTTATTAAATTTCTCTATATTTACACATTTTTAGAGATTAAAAATATAAATATATTAAAAGTTTAAAAATAAAAAATATATATATTTAGATATATTTAACAGATTAATTAACAAAAAAAAATTGAGAACCTAAAAATATTTAAAATCAAAAGTTTAAGAATTAAAATTGACATTTAATCAGAATGTAATGCTAGAAAAGACAATATTGACAAACACATTGACGTTTATAATATAAAATAAAATTAAATGATTGATTGTTAACGATTTAAATAATTCAATGGTCATTTTCTTTTGCTGAAAATAAAAAATTTTAAATTCGAGTCGTATAATATATGTATGAAGTGAGATAAGTAATTAGATATGGTTGTTTTTACTGTACAACCAAGATAAAAATAATAACAATAATAAATGATTGACAGCTGTGGGATTTGAACCCACGCCCTTTCGGACCAGAGCCTAAATCTGGCGCCTTAGACCACTCGGCCAAACTGTCACGACATGCACTGTCTCTACAAATGAAAATTTTAGTGGAAGTATAGACAATTTGAATGATAATGAAACCACTTACCAGACAAACTTACAAAGCCGAATGATGAAAATACAAACAAGTGGAAGTGTAGCTCAAACAGACAGTTTCACAACTACTTGCATAAACATAACTACCCTCAATGTTCAAGCTTGGCACATTTGAAAATCGTGTCTAAAAGTTAAAGTTGAAATTCAGCTTATATTGAAATTACCTGGCTTAAGCTCAGCTTATGAAGAAGTGATTTAACTTACGAGATTAACAACCTTGACCTGTGCATCATCCGTGCATTATATATAGACAAGACAAAACAATCTTTTGTGCCAACAGAAGACAAGGAAAATAGTATATTCTTCTACTCCAAGAATCAAGTAAAGATACCAAAATAAAACCACAAAAGGTGAAAGCCAACTTCCAAACGCACCAGATCTTTCACAGGGATCAAAAGGGTTGAATTCTTCAATTTGACCAAATGGAAAGGAGATGGTTACTACGGACCTCTGCCGGAGTTGTTGTCGGCAGAGAAACCGGCGATCTATTGCAATTTTACACAACAAGAGTTCCTTGAAAATTTCTATGGCAAGGGGTTGGATGGCAAATCCCTCTTTGACAAAATCACAATTCAGGGCTAAAACACTGTTTGTTTCAATTAAAATTACATATCTGGGCTTTGTAACCTTTAAAACCTATTTGTGTGTACCGTAAATAAAAACCTATGTGTCAAATAATAATCAACTTCCTGTTGATTTTTGTTTATTTATTATGTATTAAAGAATAGTAATTTAACTTTAATTTCTCCCAAACCAACATGCATTTTCCAATCATATCTTTATCAATACATCTTAACATTAAAAATATTAAGATATGCACTTGACTCTTGTGGTCCAATGACTAGTGCCATTGAAAAAGTGTATACCCCTTTTCTCTGGATAGGTTTCAAACCCGTCCCATTACAAAAAGTTCAAAAAAAAAAAAATATTAAGATATATTTAATCACTTTCACAAGATGAGAGTAACATAATATAAATTCTATTTAAATCTTATTTATCATGTGTTGGAATTACATGTTTTGATAACATGTGTTGAGATTAAATATAGTGATACTTTTAATTCTAAGACCTCTTAATTTTTACTTTTTTATTTTATTCATTTGACCTTTTAAGAATCTTTTTAATTAATTTGCCTCCCTCAATAATTGTAGACCCCTCTTAGAATTTTTGTTATAATTTTGTTTTTTATTTTGCCCCAGTCGCATTGTATACCAAAAAAATTAAAAATCATAATATTAAAAAATTAAAATAGAAAACAGAAGAATTTAAATTAAATCCACCATCAGAAAATAAAAGCTTGCTAATCCAAAAATCTTGTAGGTTTCAAGAGGAAATAACCGAAGCAAATAATAATAATAATAATGTCTCCAATTCCACCGTAAAATTTACTCGATCTTCTTCATAGGCCTCAACTGCAAGCAAAAAACAGGGGCAATCAGTATTTTTGTGGCAAAAAGAGATTATAAAAGAAAATATAGCTGATGGAAATAAAATTTAACATGTTTGGTAACACTTTTAAGAGCTTTTTATTTTATTTTTTACTATTTATGAGTGATAAATTTAAATTTTTATTAGAAAAAAAATTTAAATTTTTATTAGAAAAAAAATTTAAAAATTGTTTTTAAAAATTGAAAAAAATAAGTAAAAATAAGTTTATAAAAAATATAAATTTAAAAATTTTCAAAATTTACTGTTTAAAGTCTTTTTAAAATTAAAAAAAATTAAAAAATATAAATTTTTCTCTAAACTTATCAAACATGAATAGTGTTAAAAAACTGAAGTTTTTACTGGCTTCACCAAATATGGCCATTAGGCTGGGGAAAAGACCTGGTTGCCATGACCGCACTTTTTCTTCCTACAGTTCCTGCCCTTGGATGATGGATGAAGACGAGCTTAACTCCTGACCATGAAAATAATACAATTAAATCACCAGAAAGAAACACAGAAGATCCACAAAATTGCACACTTCCATCTACTGTGCTACAAGTTTTCCATACAAATATAAATGAAATAGAAAACATAATACTCGTGGGTTGGAGACTAGAGAAGAAATTAAAAGACAATGCAGTGAATAGCCAAACTCCCGAAAATAACAGCCGACTCCCAGAAACAGAAAGCACCAATGCACAAATCATAAAAGCTTAAACGGCATCAACAATACTAAGAAACACAACATAGCCATCATTCACAGAACCATCCATGAACACTTATCAAAAAGGTGGTAACAAGAATGACATCCTATTCCCTGTGCTAATAAAAAGAACACACATACATTAATAAGTAAAAGGAATCCATAAATTCCTATCAATACCACACAAAAGTCCAGCCATGCACATTGTCCAAAACCATAATTACTAGGTTTATTTTCCAATAAACCATAATTTTAGCTACCTAGTTAGATCATGTGCCATTCTGAGAAAATTAACTGCAAATAAGTTAGCCCAGCTCATAAAGTTGAAGAGCAGAATTTAATTTTGGGACTAGGATGCCCTCCATTGCACTCTTTACAGAAAAAGGAGGGTTCAACATGTAGTCCCATCAAAAAACAAAATAGACCAAAGTGCAAAACACAATAATTCTACTTTCTTGGACCCAAGTTATAAACAAAATAGACCAAATTCCTAGATTTGGTAAAAAATATCACAATAAGCAAATAAGTAATGAAATGTGCCATTCACGAAAATCAACTGCTAAAGCAAATGAGCACAGCTGATAGAGTTAAAAGAATGAAAAATTGTTCTCGGGACCTTATGTTACCTCCAAGGTTGTCAAAATCGAAATTTTACCTAAAATCATTTTCGTTAGGTAAAATCGAAATCGTAAAATCGAATCGGTAAAATCGAGAGTTTACTAAATTTAATAAATAAATAATAAAATTTAATATAACTAGCATATATTTTATTTTGTTTCAGCTGCTACATGCAAAAAGAGAAAATTTTATGAAGAAATTTGAAAAAAGAATTCAAGAAAGGGATGTATGTGAAGAAAGTAAAAATTAAGGGGTGAAATCCATAAAAAAAAACTAACAAATCCAATCCAAACCCAAATATTGAGCCCACTAGCCACTTTCACAAATCAGCCCATTAAAACCCAAACCCAAAAAACCCTAGTTTTCCTTTCTTTTTAAAGGGTAGAGACTAGAGCCACGCAAAACAAAAGGAAGCTGCAGACGGCAAAAAAACAAAAAAAAAAAGGAAAGCCCGATTCTTCTTCCATCCAGAATCCCCTTTCCCCATTTTTTTCTCCGATCAACAGCCTCCATCTCCATCACCGGTCATCACCCGATTCTTCTCCCATCCAGAACCCTCTTTCTCCATTTTCTCCGATCATCAGTTTTCCGCCTGTAGCTGTTTTGATTTGATCCTAAAATCCAATCCACAGAGGTTCGAGTGTTGGGTTTCGATTGGAAACATGGCGTTTACGTTGAGGGGCTTGAAGGTGCCACTTGAAGGTGCCACCGAACTTGGTGAACCTAGGAGGCCAGGGGTAGGGTCTTCGACTTCTTCAGGTCGGCTTGCAGATCGATACCGACTATCACGGACATCTACAACCTTCACGAGCTTTCCCCCCTTCCCTCACCGATCACCATTCTCATCACTCGTTCCTAATCATCTATCTGCTCTCCTTCGCCTAACAACAGTCGCCAGTCTTCTCCTCCGTCTCAAAGCAACCGACCAACCGGTGATTCCTCCACTCCATGTGAAATCGAGCTTTCAAACGATTTTACCATAAAATTGCGATTTTACGATTTTTCCTTCCGATTTCATGAGATTCCGATTTTAACATAGATTTTACTCGAAATCCATACCTAAAATCTTAAAATCAAAATCTTACGATCTTACGATTTAAAACTCGATTTTGACAACCATGATTACCTCTATCCCATTTAGCAAGCAACAGCAGAGGCTAAGTGAGGTCCCAGTACACTAAAGGTAACATTAACAAGCAGATTACAAAGGGCAAAGAAAGGAGCTTACTTGCGGCAAAGCATCTTGTCCTGCTTGTATTTGCAAGCCAGGGTCATCAACGAAGGCTCGCTGAGTTCCCATCCGCCTGACCACCAACAGGAGTGTAGACTCTAATCAAACCAAAGAATCCAAATTAACAATCCGAGCAGATTAGAAGCAGCATTAATAAACAGAACAGTTTCAAACTAAGACCTTTCTGGATATTGTAGTCAGATAAGGTGTGGCCATCTTCGAGCTCCTTTCCAGCGAAGAGGAGATGCTGTTTATCCACCGGAGTACCTATGAATACAACGGAGTGCGTGATTCCAGAAAAATAATAACACGAGCAGTTTGCTGCGGAGGAGGAAGAAGAATCAAATGGTGGATTACCTTCCTTGTCTTTGATCTTCGCTTTGACATTTTCGATGGTGTCGCTGCTCTCGACCTCGAGAGTTATGGTCTTGCCGGTTAGGTTTTTCACAAAGATTTTCATCTTCTCTCCCTCGCGCCTCTCCACGAACGGCTTTAGGTTAAGGAGGAAGCCAATTTTAAACTCAGTTTCTTGGGTTTCATTTCCAGAGTACAAAATATTGGGCTACCTAAGATCTTAGGTCCAATGGGTTCTTTCACATACTAAACAAGACCTATTGGCTGAGTTACTTGCGCCCTTTTGTAGAGCCCAATACTATTTACAACTTTATTATTGTTATTATTTTTTTATATTAAACTCTTAATATTTAAAAGTCACATTAAATCTTGATTAATTTAGAATTGAGAACTCTCCAAATACATATTTTTTTATTTACAAGATTTGAATGTAAAACTTTATTTAAAAGGAATTAAACTCCTTCTACACACAAATTAACTATTAACAATTTCATTACATGAGCAAAGCGCAGCGAAAAAACATGCCCCGTTTAGAAGCAGAAGCAAACCAGGAGATATTGTAACGTGATTAATGTCAACTAAAAGCCAGAATTCCTAGCAATATTTCGACCATATATTGAAGCCAATGGTTCTACCAAAATTACCTCAGTAAATTTATTACTCCATCTCACAATATTTGTTCTTTTTTAACTAAATTTTTGTTTTACATTGTCATTAACTATCATCTAAACAATTTCAAGATGATTAATTTTTTATTTCTTATTATATAACCTTGTAGGAGAGTTCTTTTTTTAATTTTTTTTTTTTTTTATGGAAGCGATCACTGCAGTTCTACGTGACTTATGTGACAAACATCCATCTCTCCAATCTTTTCCTATAGACTTTTTTTTCTAGTAGCATTAAACATTTTAATATTTAAAAATCACATTAAATCTTAATTAATTAAGAATCAACTTATGTCAAATCTCATAAAAAGAAAAACTTTCTTAATATTTATTTTTCTATCTATAAAGCTTAAATTTGAACCCCTATTTAAAGATAACCAAGCTCCTCACACTAAAATTAATTTAGATCAACATGCCATTGGTACCGGTCCTTTAGGTTTAATTAGATTATAATCCTCGTATAAGACTAGGAAGCTTTCCATCTTTAACCATTTATCCACTGCCAAAAGGGTTATACCTCAACTTTTATTCATTATTGAAGTGAACTCTCATACCCACTTTTAGAATGAATGAAATTAAGCGACCTACATTTTGATTGAAACAAACTAACCAAAATTGTTCATATAACAAAATCACTCATTCTATCAGTTCATCTTTTCCCTTCAATAAACATCAATGCAAACAGACAAGTTATCAACAATAATAGGTACCCTGATTGCCCAAGCACAGCAATCATCATGCGTAAACTCAATGCGTATGAAAAACCAAATGACGAATTGAAATAGAAGCGCTTGAAAATGGTGGTAAATAGACAAGCCAACTTTTGTTCTATGTAAACTCAGATGTCAATGTCAACCAAAACCAATTCAGCACTACAAATGTGCAATCATATCATACTTTGCATTTTAACTAGCACAAAAAGGACAGACTAATAGATATCTCAGTATCACGATGGCAGCTGAAGAACAGATATGAAGCAAAGAATCACAGCCTCTTCCACGCCTGCCACCCTTTCTGCAGGTGCTGTCAGTGGGGATTGGGGTGACATCCTCTGCAAAGAACAGCATTGCACATCAGTTTAATCTATAAATATAAATGTAAAATACAAAAGACCTGACATAAAAAAAGAGTGGCCTAAAAGCTTGACAGCTGTGGATTTGAACCCACGCCCTTTCGGACCAGAGCCAAAATCTGGCGCCTTGGACCACTCGGCCAAACTGTCACGATGTCCAGTGTTTCTACAAATGAAACTTTTACTGAAAGTGTACACAATTTGAATGATACTCCGGAGCCTCTCTGCTGTATGCCTTTCCCTCGGAATTTGTCATACTGTTCTTACCTTGTTCAGCTAATCTTATGTGGGATAAAATGTGAGGGAAAGCCTTCGCATGAGACTCTTCTCCAATCAATAAATCTGAATGTCCAAAACCCTCCACAACAACCCTTTCATGTCTAAAACCAGGTTGATGCAGTTTCATGTACTTGTTGGCTAGAAAAGATGTCTCAGGAGTCACAAGGCTGCGTACCCCCGAGACGTATAGTGTTGACAGAGCCATTCTCTCTGGATGGATTAGATATGAATATTTTCCACTGCTGTCCACTATGAATCCAGAGTTGCAGATATGAATCTCAAGCCCTTCTTCCAATAAAGTTCTGACTAAATCATTTGGTTCTATTGACAGATAGTAACTCTCAGTAGAATGTCCATTAAGAAGAAGAACAGGATTTAGTTTTCTTCCTCCCAAATGCTTCCCTCTTCTTTGACTGTTACTTTTCCACTGCCTGCAGCTGATAATTTGTACATCTTCTGTATATCACACAGGAAGAGATCATAATCAGAAGTCAATAAACCACTGTAAAGAAGACAGTGTGCTTCATAAGCTGCTTCTACAACAAGTTCAAACTATAGGAACTTGATATTTTCTCCAAATCAATGTATAACATCTTCTTCCATTGAACAGACATTTTTATACATATCATGATTCTAATCATATTTTTTACCTTTTCTTGTTTTTGGTTATTTGATATCATTGAGAATGAATCAATTCAAGCACAATCAAAAGCATTGGGCAAAAAACAAAAAACACCATCAAAAGCAAGTCTAAAGATCATGAGGATGTTAAGTAACTGAAATAGATTTCAGACTACCTGTTCTCATTTCATGAAGAGTACTGCTTGGATAAGACTTGTCCAGAACATTAAGGGCATGATCCCTGTGACTTCCTCATGGTACCTGAAAAATGTAAGTTCTCAATAGAGTCTGCAGAAAAAGATGTCTGAACCTTCTTCTTCCATTTCCTTCAAGGCTTACAAGACTCTTCAGTGAGTCAATCATGGAAATTCTAAGCTCTCCCTGTAAATTCATTGTTTCATCTGCAGACAAGTTCCCACCTACTCTTCTGAGTGTCACATGTAATGGTGTCATATCCCTCCAAGCATGTAGTGGAAACAGATAAGGATTCATGGTCTTCCTTCCCTCAAGAACATACCTGCATCAAATATTTTTTACAAGTTTCCCAGAATTTAAGAAGAATAAAGAGAATACAAATTGAAGCTTCATCGTACCTAGAACCAGAGGAAGATGCCAGAAGAAGGTGACAATACATATACTGTGTGTAGGGAGTATGGTAATCTACTTGACAGATATCCATTTCCCCAGCCATAATAGGTAACTTTTCCTTGTCTATGACTCTAAATATGATGTAACCACCAACTTTTCCTCTTAAAAGTGGATCCTCATCAAAACCCTCCTGGTCCTGCAACTATATGTTGATTTTAAGAAAAGCAGTACATGGCATAACCCCCACATAACCTCTTATGACTTCTTTGATCAGAACATTTCCTTTATTGGTCCTCTTAGTCTCATTGTTGTCGACGCATGGATTCTGATAGACAGATTTAAAAGGAAAATCTGTGCCCTTTTCTCTCTTGAAGCCAATAATATCCTTCACAAGGTGCTTGCTTACATACTCAGATACTGTAGCAATAGTAAGAGCAGGGTTTACACCAATTGAACACGGGATTATAGAAGCATCACACACATAGAGGCCCTGATGCACTGAACCAGGAGAGTCTGGATCATAAACCTGACCTTGTGGATTACAAACACCACCTAAATGATCTGGTGATGCATTGCAGCCACCTAAAAGATGAACTGAAGTGCTCTGGTACTTTGACATGAATAGAATTCACCCTAATGTCTTAGTTATCTTTTGAAAGGCCTCTATCTTTCTTGGCAGTAAAGGATCATTGGGTGGAGTAAAGCAAATTTTATTTGTTTCTTTTTCTAATATAATTTTCCCATCACTCTTATCATATCCCATTGCATTAAGCACCATTGCATGACTTGACTTAAAACCTAAGATATGTTTCAGCTTGTCTATAATGCTGTGAAAGAACCAGTAACCAGTTGGCCATCCACAACTTACTATCCCTTTAAATAGCATGTAAGGGTAGGCAGTTCTCGAAGCACAGCAGACTGAACCAGAAGAAAAATAATGAGGGTAAGAAAAGCACAGTTTGATGCATACAGAACCAGTATCAAGCCTATCATTTTTGCCATAGGGATGTTTATAATCAAACCATTACACCTACTCATATTTATCAGGG